AAAGAAAAGAAATTAAATTAAATGGGGAAAATTATTATTCTAAAGTCAAATAGGGTTTACAATGCAATTTTGCCCAAAAACTTTGTATGTGTTTGTATGTTTATTTCACCTCGTGCCACTTTAATGATCTGGAAACGTTCGTCAACCTTGAGCTATTCAATAACTTGGAAAAGTCTTCACCTTCTTCTTCCCTCTCTCTCTCTCTCTCTCTCTCTCTCTCTTATGTACCGTGTTTTGACTTTCTCAATTTGAAAATCTCATTTTCCTCCCCACCTGTATATATATAAACAAACTCAACTCCTTTGTCATATATCCTCCTCACAACGTTTTCAAAGTTCAAACCAATTCACAACTACATAAAAAAAAAAACCTTCATATCAATCTTCAACTCTCACCTTTAATCAAACACTTCGTTGATCAACCAAAAGTATCCTTTGTCAGTTCTCAATCTTCGTCAGGTTTCTTGTTTCGGTTTTGGATTTCTCGATCAAATGGACCAAGAAATTGATGTTCCCTCATTTTTTCTGTGCCCCATTTCTCTAGAAATCATGAAGGATCCCGTCACAATCTCGACCGGGATCACATACGATCGAGAGAGCATAGAGAAATGGTTGTTCTCGAGCAAGAACAAGACTTGTCCCGTTACCAAACAAGTGGTTTCGGAGGATTCCGACATAACTCCCAACCACACTCTTCGCCGGTTGCTCCAAGCTTGGTGCACAATGAACGCTTCTCACGGCATCGAAAGGATCCCAACTCCGAAGCCGCCCATTAACAAATCTCAGATCGATAAGCTCCTCCGAGACGCCAAAAAGTCCCCAAACGGTCTGGCAAAATGCCTCAGTGAGCTTCGATCCATTTCATCCCAAAGCAAAGCCAACAAGAGAAGCATCGAAGCCGCTGGTGCAGGCGAGTTCCTTGCTTCAACGATAATCAACAACATCAAGAACGACAGAGAAAATGTCGAAAATGAAGAAGCTTTGAGCATCCTCTACAACCTAAATCTTAGTGAAGATGTTCTCAAAACCCTAATAGGCAAAGAGGGTGAGTTTGTCGAGGCCTTAATCAAACTCATGCAACGTGGGAGCGACGAGTCTCGGACGTACGCTGTGATGTTGTTGAGATCAATGTTCGAGGTTGCTGATTCGATGAGGATGACAAACGTAAAACCTGGATTCTTCGTCCAAGTTGTTCGGGTCTTAAATGATCAAATCTCACAACAGGCCTCAAAAGCCACATTGCAACTGTTGATCCAGCTCTGTCCATGGGGACGAAACAGAATCAAAGCCGTTGAATCCGGGGCGGTTATGGTCTTGATTGAGCTTCTTCTAGATACTTCTTCCGATAGGAGAACCTTGGAAATGACACTCTTGGTTCTTGACATGCTATGCGGCTGCGCGGAAGGCCGCGCAGAACTGCTGACCCACGGCGCAGGACTAGCCGTGGTGTCTAAGAAGATAATGAGGGTCTCGAAGGTGGCAAGCGAGAGGGCAGTGAAGATTTTGTTCCTCATTTGCAAGTTTTCCGCGACGTCGAATGTTTTGCAGGAGATGATGCAATTGGGCATTGTGGTGAAGCTATGCTTAGTTCTTCAAGTGGATAGTGGGAGCAAGACCAAGGAGAAGGCTAGAGAGATCTTAAAATTGCATGCAAGGACATGGAAGAATTCTACTTGTATACCAAGCAATTTGGTTTCTTCTTATCCATCTTGAAAAAGAAAGAATTGTGACTTTCTATATTTTTAGTAATTTTCCATTTTTTGTGTACATAATTGATTTTTGGTCGGTTTTACAACACAGATATACCGATTAATGGGCATGGGTTACAGTTCCACAAATGTTTGATCGCATTCCTATGAATTTCTTTTCTGGTTCTGCCTTTTTGGGAAATCAGAATACCATTAATTGCTCAATACATTTGGAACTTTTAGGAGATTACTATTTCTAGATCAAACTCTTGTTTTAGAAACTTTTTATTTAAGTCGTTTTGGGAAGAGAAATCCAAAAATTATATTAAGCTTCCATACTTTTAGCAGTTCTGGGTCCCTTGTTCATTTCAAATTGATTGAGAGATGGTCCAGCACCGGAACCAACTGAAAATGCAAGGATTAAGTAAAATAAGGAAGTCCTAGACTTGCTCAAAAAAGCCAGCCGGACAGAGAAAGCAGTCATATCGAATTGCAAGTGCACTACACAATTAATTAATTGCCCATCTTTGTGGACCAAATACTATATACTCATAATTTAATTCTTTATTTATTCTTTTAGTGATATCATGTCTTCGGTAGACATAGTTAAATTAGCTAGAGTAGCGTGCTCATCGCTTTGCGCTCACGTTTGAATTTAATCTCAATAATTTAATGTAAAATATCTTATCATTTATAAAAATAAAATAATATATACATATATCCATGTAATGAATTAACAATGGGATCATTTCTATTTTGTTGTTTCCCTTTTTTTTCCCCGATAAGCTATAACTATAGCTATAGTTATATTCTTTGTTGTTTTTTTTTTTTTTTTAAAGAAAACGATAGAGTTTTATGAGAATATTTTTTCGAGTGATCAATTATTCAGTCGGGAGGTAATTTGCACAAACAAGGTAAACATTTTTTTTTTTTTTGCCATAACACAAACAAACATAAATTATACCACATGTACAAACACCACCGGTACAAACTTCCTTCTTAATTAGCAAACAAAGTACAACCCATCTTGTGCTTGACTTCCAATTATAGAAAGAAAAATATTATATGTATATGTGATATATAATTTATAACGTGAATACTTGTAAACGTATAAGTTAAACCAATATAGTTAAGTTTGTACATACGAAAAAAAAATCCAATATATAAGTTAAATCCACCTTTTAAATACGTGACACGTTACCTGAAATCAAATTGTAGAACATCATGTCACAAGTCAAACATTAATATTTTATATCTTAACTAGCATAGTACGTTTTGCATGTAATTAAGTATACATAGTGTGGAATAGATATTGCTAAGACATTAATCAGATGCGTTTTCTTTAAGGAAAATAGCTACAATAAACATATTTTGACATTGAGTTTGTAGAAATGATCATTTTCAGTAATAACGACATATTAATCACATATCAACGATTTAGCGATGACATAACGACAATAATGATATATAATGACGACATAATAAATGTTGATCATTTATGCATTGATGTCAAAGTAGTTTTTTTTTCCTTTTCTGAACAACGATATTATAGGGGAGGGGGTGAGCTTAGCCTCATAACAAACTAGCAATAACGTGGTTCAAACCGAATATAAAATTATGAATAAAACTTTATTAATTGAAGAAAGAGAACACAACAAATTCCCCAGACGGCTACTGTGAGAGACTATATTGTGGCTAACTTTATTCTGATATTAAACTACAAGTTATATTTATATAAAACAAAACCTAAAAAACCCTAATTCAAATGGACTAGGTTTTCAACAAAAATATGTTTATTGTACTAATTTCCCTCTATCTAGTAGATGTACAAACCCAATGAGTGGGTGGTGGTATCTACGCACCCTTTTTTACCTCTCACACCTCTCCTAATTTCCGATCATTGAATCAAATAAAAAGAAAATCAAAGAACATAAATCAACATAGAATGTGTGGGAAGTAAAAAGAAATGTGTGGATAAAAAATAAAAAAAAATTCATTGGCCGCCTAAGTATATATAAAAGAGAACACATTAAAAAAAAAAAAAAAAAAAGGGAAACTTTACCTTCCTCCCATTAGAAAGGAAAATGCAGCTGAGACCTGCAGGCAAGGTTCTAAAAAATGCTAGGTGCTAGTCAGCGACAGGTTGGGGCGTAGTACCTAGGCAATTAGGTTGGGGCCTAAGCAGATTTAAGTATATTATATATCGTATAAATAAAAGTCTATTTATACTTAAAAAAATACATAATTCTATTGGGATGACAAAACTGCAAAATAGAATGACATATAGATTATAAAGTATTAGAACGTGATGAAAACATGAGGAATAAATGCAAAATGAAAATTATCTCTTTTCTGCCTAAGTGAGAATCGTGACCTAGGTGTGTCTGGGCAGGTTAGGAAGACGCCTAGGCAGTCTAGGCGGGCACCTAAGCATGTCTAAATGTCATTTCTTAATTTTCAAAAGTCTAAGAATTAATCAGAGCAGTGGTCAACCCCCTAACACCTAAACGAGGCCTAGGCGGCGCTAGGTGAGAGTTTTTAGAATAGTGCCTATAGGTCATGGCATGGTTTGGTGCACACAAAAACTTCTTTTTTATCACGTTAAGGCGCTAGGCGGCGCTAGGTGAGAGTTTTTAAAACATTGCCGGTAGGTTATGGCATGTATCAGTGCACACAGAAACTTCCTTTTTATCATAGTTTTTCTTCGTTATTTTCCTTTGTTTGTCTTAATTTCTTTCTACTTTTGGTATTGTATTTCTTAAACCTTTTTCACTTTCCATGTTTCTTTTCTGCAACAAGCATATATATATATATATATATATATGTATGTATGTATATATATATGTATGTATGTATCCAGTTGTTATGGTCATTGCTTGGTAGGATCAATCGAATATGTGGTAATCCAATTGATTTGTTGGCTATTAAATTAAAGTCTTCTAATCAAACCTAATGACCCTAGATAATATGAGGGTAGATTTTTTTTCTAATAAACGATATTATCTACACTAAGAAGGAGGGAGTGGGCCTAGTCTCATGATAGACTAAAAATAATGTAGTTTAAATTTGTCTTTGGCGATAATTAATCAAACCTAAGACCTCTCACTTACAAATAAAGAAAAATACCCCTAGACCGTAATACTAAGTGGGAATAATATGATAATATTAGACTGCCCCAAAAAAGTGTTTTGATTATACAATGTACCGGACGTATCAAAGATTATAATTTCTATAATTTTAATTCATATCAGATTAAAAGAGTTATGAAACGATCCATAACACAAAGTATGAAACTAACTGCATTAATTGAATTAGATTGGATTTTTTTAAACAAAAGATAGACCAAAAACTTACAATGATAATGTGTTGAGAATGAATCCAACATTGATGAGAGGAGGGACCTTACATGTTCTTATAAGAGGTTGGACTACTCTTCATATTTGCAGTTGATTTTTCGGTAGAACCGCAACTTTCTATTAGAGCAGGTTGTCCCACATATGATGCCAAATGGCCACACACACTCCACGTTACCTCCCTTATTTGTGTTGTCCACGTATTAGGCTAAAAAAATTTCCACACATGAGATGACGTATTGAGAATGAATCTCACACTGATAGGAGGAAGAACCTTACATGTGCTTATAAAAAGTTAAACTACTACGTACCCATATTATCAATTAATTTTATATTGTAATCTCAACTTTTTCTTTCAAAATACCCTTGAGATCCCTAAGTGCCTCATATCAAACTTAATTTTACAAGCCACAACAAAAAGAAAATGAGAAAATCCGAAAAAAAAAAAAAAAACATTTTGGCTTCACATGACCAAGCGTGGCTAATTCATCCGCTACCATACTGGCTTGACGATAGACATGTTGAAGATGACCACATGCAGAGTAGATTGGATTGTACCATATGCATGAACTTAGACATTTTCCCTTTTTACGAAAAGCTCAAGCATTATACAAAACAAAATTGTAATTCTTTTGTAGTTTTTGCTGAGTTGTAAAGCACACGTTGCTGAGAAAGACATGATCAGATTTGTTTGGTGCATGCGTGTTTAACAATTTTACGGGTGTTATATGTATTTCATGTGATTTCTACAATGCTTCATGATCGCGTGCATTCTGTTGAATATATCAATCCCAACTCATCACTGCCAGCTCATCAACACAGTTGTAAAGGATTAGATTATGTAATAGTTAGTTAAAAAGTTAGTTAGAATTTATTACTCAAAGTTTATGAACTAGTCTTTTAATCGGCTATAAATAGTTATTGTAAACAAATAGTAAAATTAGTTTATTGAGTTTAATACAAAACCTTCATTCTTTTTCTTTTCTCACATTTCTCTTCTCCCTGTAAAACTTCATTTCTTGGTTTTATAATTGTTCATCTCTGCTACTTCTCCAATGTAGTTCATATGGTATCAGAGCCACTAAGCTCACGCCATGGATTCTGGTGGTTCCGTTTTTCATTAGATTTCATTGTCTTCTAGTTTTATTTCTCTTCCGTTAAGTTCTTCAATGCTTCTGTAATTGTTCAGTAATTACTGGGTAAATTTCCCTTCTGTATTTTGCGTAAAGATTGTTGGTGATATATGGGTCTTTGAAATTGTGGTGTAATCTGAATGCAATTGGCTAGTGGGTTCTGTTAATTTCTTCTGTGCTTCTGCAATCGTCAAACAGAAGTGGGAATTTTCGGTTCTTGAATTCGATTTTTTTTTTTTAAAAAAGATTTTCATCGAGTTCTTCACCTCCTGATTCTAGGGAAAAAAATGGGTTTTCAAGCAAATTCTTGGATCCAGTGGAATACCCTCACCTTGGAGGCGCTCGTGATGGTGGTCTACAATTTGGGTTTTGCTTTGGAAATGGGTTTTCCTCCGGACATGGTGCGGTGTTAGGAATAACACTCGGTCATCAATTTATGGTGCGTTTTCTTCGGTGCCTTCGATATAGTTCTTTCCTCTTGGTGGTGTTCTCTGATCAGCTTTCTGAATTATATTTTTTGCGACTTTGATCCCTAATCTGTTTTCCAGTGTGGAAGAAAGTTTAGAACTTTATGCAGTCCAAGTGTTTGACGAAATGCTCAGCCCAAGATTTTTTGTGAAGGTTATGTTTTCAATCCTGTTATATGAGATTGAGGGGGGATGTTGAATATATTACTACTAACTCATCACTGCCAGCTCATCAAAACAGTTGTAAGGGATTGGATTATGTAATAGTTAGTTGAAAGAGTTAGTTAGAGTTTGTTACTCAAAGCTTATGAGCTAGTCGTCTGGTCAGCTATATATAGCTATTGTAAACATATAGTAAAATCAGTCATTGAATTCAATACAAAACCTTCATTCATTTTTTTCTCACATTTCTCTTCTCCCTGTAAAACTTCATTTTTGGTTTTATAATTGTTCATCCCTGCTACTTCTCCAATGTAGTTAATACAGTCAACTTAAGGTTAAATTGTCATAGTTAATTGTTTGGAGCATAAAATTGATGGCCCGTTAGAGTGTTTTTGTTTGTTTTATGTATCCTATCAAATTCAATATTTACCAAATTTAAAATTTATGTTTAAAATATTTGATTATGCCTAGGAATTTAGAAAAAGTGCTATTTGTTCGAGGTTGAAAAAGAATTGTTCTTTTCAAATTTGGAAAAAAAAAAAAAAAAAAATTAGCCTATTCTTCATTTCGTTTTTTGGGAAGAAAGTAGAAGACTATTTTTCTTATAGTTTTAATCGCATGCAAACCATTAGCCTATTCTTCATTTCTCGAGATCCTTCGACGACACCTCGAGTGCTTGTCAAATCATTTCTCTTGTCTTGAGTATTATATTTACTTGCTGCTATATTATTCATGGGCGTCGAGATGAGGTTGAGTTGCTCTTGAGGGGGTCAGGAGCAATAGAAACTAAACAAAAAATTTCAATGCAATTAGGATTAGTTAAGTTTTTTGACACGTAAAAAAGGAAAAAATTATAAGAGTTCGGTAATAAAAGGGAAAAGGTCTTTTTCAAGCCTCTAGAAAAGGACATTTTCAAATTTCCCATTTATGGATCATAGAAAATCAATTACCTCAATAAGTGGGATTAAAGTTAAAGAAAATTGAGTTCAACCGGGAATTGTTTGATACCTACGTTTTTGTTTTTGTTTTGACAAATGATATTGGTAGTGGGTTAAATTGTTAGTCGTTTGGGTGAAGATCGGTGGAGATCGAACCCGTACTAGAATACATAGATATGATTGTTTTTCCCCATTGTGGTAAAGCATCATCTACAACATTGTGATTTGTCTAACTATTTGGCCAAAGTCAAAATCCAAGTGGTCCAGTGGTAAGAACATGGATTTCAGCTCCCAAAATACAAAAAACAGGAAAGTCCCAGGTTCGAAACTCCAAGTTGGTGAGTTTGCTTGATTGTGACCAGGGAAAGGCTGATATGTCTCTGGAAGTCTTCCCAGCCCTGGGAATGGGTGGATAACCGTGGCTTATCACCAGCTGTTCCATTAAAAAAATAAACATATATATAAAATAATTAAATAAAAATAAAAATCCAAGTATAGTTAGATAACTAAATACTTTCCGATTTAAGTGAATTGTTGCAGTGATGACATCACTTTAAAATGATCAATTCAGATCATAAGAAATATTATGCAGTGGACACAAGTAGTGGTGAATCTGCTACTTCATATATAAGGTGTCATTTTAGAAATGTGAAGCTCTATTTTTTTAATTTCTAATATGCACCATGGATTTATCATATTTTTGTTTATTTTTTATAAAGCGATATATTTACACAAAGAGATGAGGATTTGCACACAGTAAACTAACTATAATAAATTGGTATATCGAACTTGTCACCACATGAATCAAACTATTCAAGTGGAGTGAACAATAGAAAGAGTAAGATAAAGTAAAATTACAATCATAGAGTAAGCTATAGAGTAAGATAAAGATAGAAGAAGATATTACGAACCACAATCACTACTCATCACTTAATCCAACTAGGAGTTGAGAGGAGAAATTAAGAAAATAGATGGGGAATGGTGGACCAGAAGTTAAAAACAACAAAAGAAACGAAGAAATAAATGAAAACAAAGATTTTTAAGGAGAATTATTGCAAAATAACCAAACTGTTGCGGTCATATTCAGAATAAGAATGTGATTGAGTAAATCCTAGTAGATCTAGGAATATATTTTATATTCATATTAGGAGTTGATTACCTATTAAGAGTTGTAATCCCAAAAGGTAAGGTTTTTGCCTATCCTACTACTATAAATAAAGGTACACTGGGCGTGATACAACATACATCTCACAATTAAATCTCTCTCTTCTCTTTCTCACTACCGCCGGTCTCCATCTCTCTAAACCTTTGGGTAGCTCAATTAAATAGGCCTACATTACGTTATCAGCATGCTCTTACCAGAAGCTGAGGGCTTGACAGATCGTAGGAGGAGGCTATCTTTCACACAATTCAAAGGCTATTCTTTGTTTTCTGCTAATTAGGTACGCTTGAAATAAATGAAGATATTTGAAACGTCCACGAAGCATGAAAACATTCTTCATGATGCATGAACCCTTCTATGTTTATATTTTCCTTACAATATATACATTGTATATGTTTCATATGATTGTCAATATATATATATATATATATATATATATGTTTCATGCATTACGCAATTAATTTGCTATGTGCAATTGTGAGTCAAAGCATATTAATAAATTAGAAGCGATTTAGGGTTTTTCAAACTTTAGGGATTTCAAAAAAAAAAAAAAAAAATTGGGAAACGTGCGGCAACGCTGCCGCATCACTAACGTGGCTTCACCAAGACACTACTGTTGGCCTGAAGCCCAACCGTGTGGAGCATAACATGGCACTATGTCATTTTAGACAACTTAGACCTCACGGCAGCAACCCTTTGGGCCTTGCTGCGTTGACCCGGACCCTAGGCCTCCGACCTACTTAGCTTTATAGGGCCTGAAGTCCCTTAGCCCACCCAAGAAGAACCCCTTTTCTTAGCCCGTTGTCCCGAGTCCCTGGCCCAACTCTAGTAACCCTAAGCTGCTGGGCTTCCTTGTTGCCTATAATCCGGCTCGTCTGCAGTAGCCCGTATGCTCATTGGGCTTCGTCCTAGTCTCGGCCCACTCACCAACAACTTTATGTTGCTGGGCTTAATTTGCCCCAAACCTAAAACATGAAACCCAGCTTTTCGGGGTTTCCCCGGACCAACTGAAAAGGTCAACTTTTTGCTGGGCCTGCCCTGTGTCCCAGTTTCGACCTAAAGTCAGTAGCCTTGGCTGCTAAGCTCCCTGAACCCTCTCAGCTCGAGGCCTGCAGCCCTCAACGAGCCCAACACGCCTGCAGCCGAACCTAAAGGGCCTTTCTCCCATATTATTTTGCTTCCACAATCGACTCTATTCGATCCCGATCTATTGAATTAATTAAAATTGACCTACAATCCATTAATTTGATAATTAAATCCAAAATTATTGACATAAAGATCACTTTTGGACATTGTTGATTCAATAATTTATTTTTATACTTTGAATTGTTGACATACATTCGTAATAACGAAGCCCTCACACTTGAGTTCCTGAAGAAACTCAAATTCAGTACACTTAAGTCCATATATTGCATTCTGTGTTTTTTGTAGGAACCTCTCATTTATGAACTAATTGTTCATAAAAACTAAATTGAACTTGTAGTTTCACATTTAGTACCTTTGAAACCTGAAGTTTCATTCAAAACCTATCACATGAAGCCTGTAGTTTTCATCCGTAAATTAAACTGATACATGTCTGTAAAACCTGAATGTTCTACGATATATGTCTATGGATCACCATATGACTAATCACGTTTTTTTTTTACCCTCTGTTTTAGGGACATGTCGAACTTAAACAAGCTCAATTTCACCGCTCTGGAAGTATCAAGAAGAAACTACCTGAAGTGGGTTCAAAACATGAAGCTCTATCTCACTGCAAAGGGTATTAGAGCCACCATTGAGGCACCCACTAACAACAAACCTGTCGACGAAGCTCAAAAAGCTACTGCAATAATCTTCATTCAAAGACATATCCATGATGCTCTGTAGACCGAGTACCTCACTGAGGATGACCCACGCACCCTTTGGCTGGCTCTGGCTGACCGTTTCGATCACCAGAAAGATATATACTTGCCTGAAGCAAGACACGACAGACAACATCTTCGCTTCTAAGACTTTAAGCTCGTGAATGAATACAACTTTTAATTTTGTAGAATTCGATCACTACTGAAGTTCTATAAAGTGGAACTTACTAAATCAGATCTCATGGAGAAGACTTATTCGACCTTCCATGCCACCAATATTATCCTGCAACAACAATATAGGGCATAAAAATTCACCAAGTTTTTGGATTTAATCTCTGTACTACTTCTCGCTGAAAAGCAGAACCATCTTTTGATAAAGAATCATCAAGCTCAACCACCTGGCTCGAACGTCGAGCTTGAAGCACATGTGCCCAATTCTAATAGCCACAAACGATGAAAGAATCATCGTAGCCGTGGCAATAGGCGGCAAGCCCAACCACTGGCCCAAGGTCAACAAAGCGCCAGCCCTAAGGGAGGAAATATGACCCAATAGTGTCCACCATTTGCATTTAAGGCCCCGAACTTCAAGAACAAGGGCAAAGCTACTGCTCAACCGATTTCCACTGAAAAGGACATGTGCTACAGCTGTGGATCAAAAGATCATTAGTCATGCGTATGCCGAGCTAACCCCGAGGCTATTGCCAAGTATCATTCCCATCGCGAGTCTAACTTTGCACATGTGGATCATCCGGAATATGTTACTACATTTATGGAGATATCGCCAATCATCTACTCTGACACTTAAGTGTGGCAGACCCCTTGGTTCAAAGGATTCACAACCTCGAAAAAAGAAAAATGACACCAACTAGTAACCCTAGTTTAAATTTGACCATCGCTCACTCATCCGTTCCAACGCTTGAGGTTATTCTAGATTACGGTGATGTTTTAGACGTGACAAACTGACCTCTCGAGAATCGTGAGATTTTGGTCCACTACATAGTATTGGATGAGGTTTGGAATAGGAATGACATGATTGTCGACGATGCATTTGCGTACACAGTAGCCACTGACATCATGCTTAGCGATGACATTAAAACCACGTTCCGTTGATGAATGCCAACATAAAGCCGATTGGTCAAACTAAAAACAAGTAATCTAGTTTAAACTTTTAAACTTTTAATTACTAACTAATTAGCGGTTAAACTTTTAATTTCTTATTTTTTTGCCAAAGGATTTGCATCAAGGACTCAGGACTACACATGGATGCATAGTTTTGTAATAAATTACTAACTAATTAGT